GGCTGGGTTCTGCCTTCTTGCCGCGCGATGGGCCTCCTGGGTAGTACCCCACGTGCAACTAACAGAGGACTATTTAGTGGAACCACATTTGCACAATGCATAAGACCGAAGGCTCGAGACCAGCCAAACTTCCATCCCTTCGGATTTGTTGCTTAATTAGAGGCTGCACGAGGTTGAAGGGAAGAAGGGGAGACCTACCTACTGGCGAACGTAGACACTAAGAGTGTGAATCAGCGACGACATCGTGCGTTTTGGGTTTTTGCACCGCGAGGGACCATAGCGATTTCTGCGAGCGCCGCCGCCGCACACCAAATCCATGAATTTTGAGCTGTAAGACCGTCGTCACACTCGGCGACAGACAAGCGCTTGTCCGCCGCCGTGACGACGGTCTAAACATGCAAGTACTTAGATGCGATGAAGTGTTTTCAATAATGTTCGATCTGTCTAACTTATCGGGAGTTACAGTAATGGAAGTTCGACCGAAATGACGTGTTAAGGCCATGAAAAGGCAAATTTTACTTACTTTCCCTTTAGTGGTTCCAAAATTAATTTGGACGTGGTTGTTTCAGTAAAAACATATCTTCCCAATAGGTTTGTATTCGCTTCTATTATTCCTTTTTATCAACATGTTTACGTTAATGAAAAGAAAACGAGGAATGAACTGAACAGACATATCCGTAAGGTCTGGAAAACCTCTGCCAAACTAAAGAATATTTGGCCTTTCTGTGAGCCATGTGGTTTTAAGTATGCTAATGTATGGCCTATAGAATGAGTACAAAGACCTTAGGAATAAGTCGCACAAGCGCAAGAAAAAGGGATGACTTGGGTGGGACGCGTTACCGCGTCACGCTGTCGTCAACGTGTTAAATATCACTCACTAAATGAACTACCACTTCTAAAGGAGAAAGCATTTGCATCGCTTGTAGGGCACTACTTCTATGTATGTTCCACACTCAATTTTCATTTCATTTAGATTCTACTTTGAGAACGAAGGAGTTTTCACGACGGCGCAAATGACTGCATTGAAGGCAGTCACCCTCTCGTGGGTGTTATGCGAAACAAGCGATGGGTGAGTATGACCACATCAGTTTTTCCTTAACAGTAGGAAATATGTAGCTTCACCAAATGAGGCGCCGGTAAGATCTCAGTTCAATAGCCTTGTCGTTACAATGAAATCGTAGTGTGGTGGATTCAGTAGATGAATTTCTCGAACTAGTAAAGCTTTCCAGAATGGGAAGGATCGTACCGAACGCATTCACCATTGATCGTGGACAACGAGCTGTCGCCTTGCTCATCGTTGAAAAGGCTCGATCTTTCAGCCTGGAAGGAATAGGTACTGCTCAACTATTTCTTACCGATTCGTCCGTCAATTCTGTTGAGAATTAAGCAACAATTCCAGGTTAATAACACCGCTCGCCACTACCCGGCTAGCAGGGAGTCATTGCTCAGTCAGTCATTCATCTCTGTGCCAATAGTTTTCCTTCCAAATATTACTTGAGCTTTACTGCATACATTCCACATACAGGTGCAATAAATATATGTATTGTCTGATGAAGAACGCAGCACGCAGCAATGCGCTGAACATTTCATTTTGTTTCGATGTACTCCTTGATAAGCACTCAACCTTAAATACACCCCGCAAAAACACTACTTCTGCCATGAATTTCACTTCCAACAGATAGAAGACTTTTATATAAATCAGTAACAATTTTAAGCAAACAACATCAGGGAAGCCAACAGCCCAGTGACAAGAAACTCCAGTGCCTCCTACCGTCAACAACGAAACCTGGTAGAAGGCCAAACAAGCGGCCAACACACGTAACAAACCACATAGCATAAAACCGTCGCCAATATGGCATGCAAAAATCGTAATGACCGACTAGTTCGGCAAGGTTCGGTGAACATCGAGAAGCTAAAGGCGGTGGGTTGCTCATAGTGAAATCACACAGGGAAACCGATCAGACAGAAATCAGCGCACAACAATACGCTGACTGGAAAAAAAATCTAGAAGTGCCAAAAAACTAGTCCAGCTCGTCCTCTCCCAGTGGAGCTAAAGTCTTTTGCGTATCGAGCGCTACCATAATTTGCTCTTCAACGAGCTCTTCTGCTTGCTTGTTGTCAGTATCCACACCACCTATAGATATTAATTAGAAAGGATACAACCGTTATGATAAAATCAAAAATCGTACAAACCTCGAAGAGATATCCTAAGCTCACGCTGAGCAGCAATTTTCTTCAGATTCTTTTGGCGAATCAATTCGAAGGCAGCCATTATCTTCCTGCAAACGATCACCATTAGCGTTGTCAACACCGTTGTTCCCCACTAATTTTAGATAACATCCTGTAAAATCCCCCACAAACCTTCGCCTCTCAATAACTTCTTGGCTGGCTCTGTTCTTTTCCTCGTTATCTTCACGCTCGAAGCGAACTGCTGTCTTCTTCAAGTTGTTCTTGATTTCCTTGAATAAAAAACATTTGAACGACAAGAGTAATGTGAAGAACAACCAACAACAAAGCTATATATCAGTGGGCATTAGGTCTATATAAAATGTGATTTACCTTCAACTTCTGCTCACTTAATTTCACGGGTGGACGAGGACGCCATTTAAATTGCGTCAAACGTTCCAAGGCCTTCCGACAAAGTTCGCGACCCTAAAAATGTTACGACATATTCAAAAAAATACAACAGGAGGGTTGAAGATGAATAAAAGCAAGGGGGAAGTTTGGTTTCAATAGAGCTGGTACCTGGAAAGTATACAGCCTAAAACCAAGATCGGCTCCTATTCTTCCTCCAAGCGTTGAGCATGTCACGAAATATCGACCAGTTGGATCCCAGTATCCCTAAATAATGACACCTCCCAGTTGCTCCAAATTGTACATCTAATCTACAAATTGGGTAACTGTATCATACTGTTGTTATCGAAGAAAATGCGAAAGGTGAGAACTGATAATAAAAGATAATAAATCGATGGATATAGAGGAAGCTAACCTTGTTAAATCCCGGGTGCTCTACGACATTGGTGCGTTTAGCTTCTTGCAAGGTTGTGTCAACAAACATTACATTACCACCATTCGACCGTTTCGCCAGGATAGCCAACCATCCACCATGTGGAGCCCACGATACCTGAACCACAAAACCTAAGAACGGTGAAAAACTTCTCGAAAAAATCTGACAAAAAATAATAAAAAATAAAAAGGCACCTCGTTGAATTGGACTCCAGGATCCAATTTGCTCATCAGCTTAGGCGCATGACTGTTAGGTTCAAGGCGATAAACTAACGGTGTTACTTTAGCTTGATTACCAGTAAGAACACAGAACTTTTCACCTAAATAACACAGAATTTCTTTGCTGCATAAGTGTTTTCAAAAAAGCGGACGTCTTCACGTACCATAGGGTTGCCAGCCAAAGTTGATGAACGGTTCAGGAAGAGGGAGATTCATTAATGATACATCTTTCTTATCAATCTCGAAGATTTCCAAGTGGTAAGTGCATCCACCTACATACTTCACTTCACCTCCTTCCTTCATTTGTTTCTTTGAGTACCTATAACGACAATATAAAGACATTTGTGCGGCGTTTCAGCAATGAAAATGAACGCTAGTAAGGTACAAAGGACCCAGAAATTACCAAATTCAGCGTTTCTGGTAAATTTTGGGAAACATACAAACGATTTTCAGGACAGCAGTGACGAAGGGAAACCACTAGCAAAAAATAGCGAGAAAAAAAACTATTCCAATTGCAGCGAATTTGCAAAATTAAAAAATCTTACTGCAGTATAAAGCATAGAACGAAAAACGGAGGTGTTAATGATAAAAATGAGACAAGTCACTGAATGGCTGTTAAACTTTACGTAAACCTAAATTAACAGACCGACCTCATAGTGTAAACAGCAAGGCGTTGGCCACTTTTTTGCCAAAACATTTGAGCGTCAGCAACGTTGTGAATACGGCCTGATCTCAATCTCTGTTGGTTAGGCATCTGCACCAATCCAAATTCAGCAGGAAGAGAGTCTGTACACTGAAAACAAAAGCTACTTTAACAAGACCCGAAGATTTCATTAGAAAAAAACTTTGCAAGAACCTACTTCAGCGTAATATGAGATGATGTTCTGGGTCGGGCTCCATGAAAATGTTTTGATATTTTCCACAATAATGTTGCGATGATCAACTAGTGCGAATTTTTCTGTTTCAAAGACAGAAATACCATTGACCTGAAGCGGTGATTATATACGAAAAATGTCAGCAATCAGTGAAATTGCAATCCGCTACCTTCTTTTCCTTCTCGAGTTTGTCCTTTTCTGGTGCCTTCAGACATGCAAAGTATTTCTCGTCGAAAGACCATCTGTAAATAATTTTCCGAGAAAATTCCGAAAAAATGACATTTCTACAACTACATTTTAAATGAAGCTTTGAGTCATGCATATGCGTATCGATTCGAGATATAAAAAAGGAAATCTATACAACGCACTGGAAAAAAGGCCAACAGGGCAATTGGTCGCGATTCGTGAGCGCATAGAGAGAGTATCCCTTCAACATTTCACCAGTCACAACGTCCCAGATACGTAAGCAGTCCTCATCGTCGCCCCAATGATTTTTCTCACCGGCTTCAGCATACGTCACCAAATATCTGGAGGAAATATACGTATGATTCTACAGTTTAACGACGTTGAATGTTTTTCACAACTTACGTCTCACAAGGCGAAAAATCGATAAATTGCACGTTATCATGAGCAAAACGTTGAACTCGTGCAAATTCAGGTCCTCCCCATAATGCCACTCCACGTTTGTGAATAGTGGTCAAATATGAACCATGGGGTGACCATTTGAAGACAGTATCAGTCCAAGACTAGAAGTTGAAGAGTAATAAACAAGTACTCTTAAAGCAAATCCAATAGACTTACCAGGTCTTTCAGCTTTTCCTTGATCACCGGCAATTTCGGGATCGTGCCCTTTTGATATGCCAGTAGCAAGCAACAGTTGGAACACCATCCTTTTCGTACTGTACTGCGAACTGATCGCGACATCGAGGATGTTGCATCCACCACCAGAGATCACCCTATAGAAACATTACCGTAGAATGGAGAAAAACGGCTAGTAACCCGAATATTCAAACACATTACCACATCATTATAAGGAGTTGGTTTGGGTGGTTGCCAATTTTGTGGAGGTTGTTGGAAATTCCGAGCTTCATTGAAAAGCAAAGCGGAGAAGACGTGATTTTTGTCCAGCTTGTATCCATTAAGAACACCTTTAGCGTACTCAGCTTTCACTTTGTCGGGAAATTCAATAAATACGCAGCCCTAAACATTGCTTTTATAAAAAGCTAATATCACACTTTCAACACACTTGCCTTGCTTCCTCCATCCTCCGAAGGTGGGAAATAAGCTTTGTGATCGGCTCAACATTGGTGAAGACCTTGCTAAGGAACAGTGCCGCAATTGGGCACATCGTCTGGTCCCACAATAGGAAGACCAAAAATGATCAAACAACACTCTTCGTATTCTTCCATGGAAGGTTTTTGTCGAAGTACATCCATGACAAGCTCTAGAAATGATTTTTGAAAATTCTTATCTTCATGAGCTAGACACTTAAGTATCCCTGTTGCATCGACGCCTCTTTACCACAAAATCCTCCCATTAAAAAAGTGGCTAAAACTGGGTCAACATGAAAAACAAAAAACCGACAAAGAACCGCACCATACCTTCATCAGTGATGTCGTCGACGAAGTCTTCTGGATCGGAGAAGTCAGGCTCCTCTTCATTTTCTTTATTAACGTCTATTTCGACCATTATTGCTGATACGTCGCCAGAGCCAAAACTCGACGGTTACCTGTCATAAAAACAATTGATAAAATAGATCTAAATAGTCCCTATCAAGTCGTCATCGATCCACGACAGAAAGATTTTTTCAAGTCTGCTCAATAGGCCGGCTTTTTAAGCCATTACCTATACGCCGCCAGAGAAGCAAAAAACAGCACAAACAATTTGTCATTAATTAGGCGATGAGGGTTAGCAAATAGTGCTATCGAGCAAAGGGCATCATGTTCAAGTAAAAAAAGGCTACACTGACATTTCCCTGGAAACTACGGGATGAACTTGGTCCGCTCACTGACAGGCGCAATATACACGTGTTACCAAAGATATGTCTGGAATCTTGACCCACCGAGAAATCACGTCATGGTAGCGGGACTGAACGGTTCAGAGTAAAAAAAAAGGTGGGACCAAACAACCACTCTAACAAGAAGATGATAACAATTCGAACTAGACCCAAAAGAAGGAAATCAAAGCTTAAATGCGCTACTAACTTAACTAGACCGTAGATCGGACGAATAGGTATCAAAAGTGTGCAACAGCGCGTTACAATTACAAAATGGTACGCGAAATTGCAGACAAGAGACAATACCGTAAGCTAGTGCTGCAAAGAGACGTCTTTTAATCGCATTCATGACCGATGCACACAACACACATACGTGAGATTCGGGATTTGGCGGAGTCGTTCAGTTTTATAAGATAGGCGATGTCATAGTTTGCGAATCGAGCGATTCGCTAGCGAATCGCTGGATCCGAGCGTTGCGCCAGCGAATCGAACGTTGCACCAGCGAATCGAACTAGTCGAACTGGGAGCACAGAACGGTATACCGTAGCACCACGGGATTGGTTTCGAAACTGGTTACAAGGCTTCTGTCAACCAGGGGGTGAGAGTGTAGAAGGAAAAGCAGACGTTCTTTGTGGTAGTGGGACTAAGCCTTTTAAAGGAGGTCTGTAATAGTGCGCTTGTGTGAGAGCTCCCAGACAGCACAACAAAACGCTGAATTGCCTAGCCTCACGGTTGACAGATGTCCGGAGACCTTCAAACTGAGCTTCCCGTGACGCAATGCTACGGACTGCCCGAGCCATGTTGCGCCATACTTTGCACAAGCTAGTGATTGAAATGGATTTCATTGACAAAGTGGGAGCTTGCACCGATATGGAAGTTTGACACGTTGAACCTTTATACCGATTTCCTTGTGAAAACGTTGAAGGTATTAACTTCACATCACGTACAGCATGCTAAAACTATCGCCCGCAGTCCGATCGCAACATGGCTGACCTGAAATCGTCTATCCGGACTTTTGATAACCGACTCGTTTTGACTTCGAACAACCTCAGTTGCGCACGAAACCTTATGAAGTTGCAGCGGCCCGGAGGCTCATTTATCAAGCGAAGAGCTGGAACTCATTAATTCCCACCAGAATTTGTCAGGCTGACACCCGAACTATACTGAACCGTACTCTCCGTAGGAGGCTCATTACCAGTGAAGAGTGGAATCATATAGTTGCTCCACACAGTGTTGTAATTCTTCTTGTTTTGTATCGCCAGCGAAGAAACCAGGATGTAGTTGACTTCGCTATCATGTTTCTGCGAAATAGACACCAGAGGAAATTCTCGCGCCTGGAACTTTCAACTGCCTGGTCTTGGCCTCCGATTCCCTCACTTGCTGGACAGCTTTTCCCTTCGACTCACTTTACTTGTTCACACGTTTTATAAGCGAGCGTCCGATACTTCCCTACTACCCAGTACCTTTATGTGCTCGTATTGCTGGTATTTCATACTCAAGCTGCATCTGTGGGTCGTTGAAGAACGCCCGCCTCGGATCAACATTGTCATTGTTAGACACGGCAGCGGATTAGGCGCAGAATCCTATTCAGTTATTATTGAACCCTTTAGAGAATGTTCATTCAATCTGTCGATTGCTTTAATGAAAGACAAGGATTTTCGTGTACACCTCGATCTTACGGGATCTCTCACTCATTTCAAAGGCTCCTATCCAGAAATTTCTGCCGACATCAGTTGGACGGGTGGACGATTAGCTTCTCGTCACACTTCGTATCACGCTGAAGAAGGCGTGAACTTACTGTAGCTTAGAGTAATTGACATCCTAGCTAGGGAGTACATCACATCACTTGTGACTGATTATTGAGCTAAACAACAACACACAACATCCAAGCACGGTGTCAATCGCACAGAGTCGGTTCACGAAACCCTACAGTAAATAGAGCCTATAAATAGGCGTGCGTGCAACATTTACAACAGAATGTATTTCCCAAACCGATTGTACCCAACCAGAATCCTTGTTTAAGGCATATATGTGTATGTGTATAAAAATGATTCGAGTTTTATTGTTATCTTCTACAGTGCCTGACAATTTCACTAGTATCATCTCAACTCCTAGTGCCCTGTGCGAGCCAAAGCATCGTTAAGTACGTTCTCACGTTCCGCCGCTTGTAATTCTTGAAGATTTCTAGCCTGAACATTAGGAACTTTGAACGCTAAGCAATATTATGAAGCACTAAAAACTGAACCCATACCTTTCTCTTCTGGTTCCATTTGAAAAGGAAATAGATTCCTACATAACTGGCCATAGCAGCACGGAATATATTCGCTCGTCCAAAATGCTCATGAGGGTTCATGTATGCCCGCTTGGTAGTGACGACCTGATTCCAGAACCCACGAACAGCCTCCATGTCTGCGCTTTCGGAAACCAAAGACAATTAGAATATCCTAAAGTTACCAGATGGAGGGAAGAAATTTTAGGAGAGGTACCCTTATCACGTGACACGAAGTTGCAAGCTAATTGGCTTTTATAACACTTCGAGAAAATTGGTTAATACGACTCCAAGTCACATGAACGCAAATACACGGTTACTAAAAGAGCAGCTATCAACGCAGTGATGCCTTCAAAATACTTCGCAACAGTAAAACGCTACATAAAACCGGCTTCTAAAAGATATAAAATGTGAGTGCGCCTTTCAAAGGCAAATCTCAGCAATGTCGAAGACCAAGCAACAAACTGAATCGATAAATACTCCGCATACATACAAACTACAATACTATCACTGAACATTAGTGAGGACTACGAACTTGGGCGTAATTAGAACGTGGAAAATCTGAACATTGAGCACCCACTACTTGAGAACAACACAGTCGGCTCGACAGGAAAGACACGAACCACCCTGACGGGCTAACTCCAGCATATTGTATCACGCAAAGAACCACTTAAGTCATAATGTTACATATGAAAAGCTTATCTACACGAAAGCAATGCTTTAGCAAGTACTTTGGCAAGTGAATTATAGTGGGTATTGTCACAAAGAAGAAGCAACCATTCAGCAAACATTTGCACATCCGAGTCTTGCAAGCCCGGTATCTGCTCCCGCCATAAGGACAATGAAGAGGACCTTGAAAAAAAAAACATTTGCAGTGAAAATAGAATTGATCGCAAAATGCCCTCCTCTAGCTGGTTTATTTCGTATACCGTAACATCCAAAAAAGCTGTCACTTCAAACAAAAGATGTCAATGTTTGACAATTGCCTGGCAAGGCATTTTTACAAATTTTAATGGAAGTGGAAAGCACATACCAGCCATTAGTGAAATCAAGTTCATCGGGTGGACCAGCTAACCACCGAACGATACTTTGTGAAATAGCCTTTCGTTTAGCACACGCATACAAGAGAGTGATGAAAGCATCTCGACAAAACTAAAATCTGTTCTATATCAAAATTCTCCTAGAGGAGTTTCTCAGTTAATTGGAAAGCAGTACTCACAGCGTTTTTGTTCGAAATATTCTCCTTGAGGGAGTCAACGTTCACTGCGGATGACAAAGCCATTAGTTGTTCCCTGCTCAGCTCCATTAGTCCAGTGAACATGTGTGGAACTACGTCGCAGTTTATCTGAACGGATTTACGTGTTATGCTTACCCTAATGGCTGATTTGAGTCAAAAAAATCTCATCACAAAACACCTAATAAGTAATGTAACATCTGCTCAAAATAATTTCGAAAGAATACTCTCAGGTCTAATTTGCTGTCATTGTTTATATGAGATGCAATATTGAAAAGAAGGACAAAAGCAGAATCTCAAAAAAGTTTTGAAAGAGAAACTTACGTCTTCTATGCACCTCTTGGAGCACAAACTCATAACGGAAAATAACGACAAAACGATGCGAGCAACATCCCTGGGGGTTCCAACAGTAAGCGCTCGTGCTACCACGGAACGCCCTTTTCCTATCTGAAAAAACAGCGTTCTTGAACTGAAAAATCTCAGCTAATCCCCTCCCTCATCCTAGTTGAAAACACTTCAAACCAAACTGAATGTGACAGAGCCAACATCATATTTCCAACCTATTCAAAAAGTACCTAAGATAAGCTACCCTCCCCTTCAAAAAGCGAGAAAGTGTCGGGTGCAGACCAAACACCACAACTGACGACGGCCTCCAAGTAAATCTGGTTAGAAGTGTTCATAGTGATAGCTGATTTCTGGTAAATGATAGTTGTAATTAGTGACAATCGATAGAATACAACTGCAACAGGCTAATCATTTCATTGGCAGAAAACATTAACATTTTGTGAAGGCCGTCGTCACTTGTCG